CCCAACTACACCACTGGATTGCCAGATCTGGTAGCTTGAAAAACACACTGGGCTTGTGTGGATGTATGCCAAAAATACCATTCCAGGGGGAGGCCTACTTGTTCGCTCTCCTTCTCTCTCTCTCTCGCTCTCTCCTTCTCTCTCTCTCTCGCTCTCTCCATCTCTCCAGCAAGCACTTGCCTCTCTAGCAAATTTTCAAAAAAGAAAGAAACTAGAACCTTGATCCTCCTGCTGGCTTCATCTATCATGTATAATCACTGGAGGAGTCCACTGAAAAACAAGAAGGGGTAGGAACAGCATTTGTCCTGGTGGTTAAGGTGTTGGACTCTCATGTGGCCAACCAGTTTGGATCCCAGACTCCAGAGGCTTGAAAATCATGCCAGGTGTGTGTGTGTATGTGTGTGTGTGTGCGCCCGAAATCCTGAGAGATAAATGGAGAAGGGATTGTAGCATGCTCACCTCCCCTGGGGGGGGGGGGGGTTTTTCTTTTCCCCGGTGATTTCTCATTTCCCCTCTCTCTGTTTCTGTCTCTCTCTTCCTAGCAAGTACATGCACCCTATGGCAAAAAAAAATCTTTTAAAATAAGTAAATAAATAAACAGTAAGAGAGCAGGGTTTCTGGTCCAGTGTTCTTCCCCTTCAGTACACCATTACTCTCTTTTCAGGGAGACCATTATTCTGTTCCTGGTTTCATAACAGTGTCTGGCTGGATGTATAAAGGCCCCCTCTGGGTCAGTCTCATAGCCTAGTGGTTAAAGAAAGTCAGATCCCACATGGTAGACCGCAGATGGAGTCCAGGCCAAGCAGCAGCCCTGTCCCAAATCCCAATAGGATAGAAAACTGCTGCATGACTATGCCCCAAGGTGGGTGTTTTCTGTCTTTCTTTCTGGTGAGCACACAGGTCCTCTGGCAATTTAAAATAATAATAATAATAAAAGTCCCCCTTGATGGGCCCCATAGCCTCTCTCAGTAGGGGCTTCCATCCTCTTTCTTCAACCCTCACAATACTCTGCAGCCCAGATCAGAGTATACAGTTACCTACACTATTAGATCCAAGTGGGTGCGCACAACCCCTTCTCCTTCTCCACCTCTTTTGGGACTTTGGGGATGCATGCACACAGCCCCATGTGTTTCTCAAGCCACCAGTCTGGGACTCCAACAAGACGGGCCATGTGGGATCCAGTTGTCTTAACCACCAAGCCACAAGCCAGACCTAGACATTCTTTAGCTGAATTTTTCACACACACTCGCTCACACACACACACATACACATCCTATGTGCTAGGCCTGGATCATACACAGAGTGGACCCCTATCTTTCATTAAACTGGAGCTATTCCATACAAATGTAGCCTTCCCCCAATCCGCACTCTCAAACTGCAGCACTAAACTCCAAGAAAAAAGTCGTTATTCCATACAATTTTTTCTACTCTCAAGTTCGGTGTATTCTAACCACAACAGTAGAGCTCCACGTCCCTCCTTCGGAGTCTTTTCTTCTCTTGTCCGAAAAGCTCAAGGCCGCGCTGGATCAAGACCCGGCCAGATCTCGCCCCTTACACAAATCCGGGAATTACGGAGCGAGCGCGGACGCAAAACTCACCCGGCAACTCTGACGTCACCTCACGCTGCGTTGGGATAGGCCCTGTGCACTGCACTCCGGCTGGCGTGCTCTTCGAGTCCGTTGTGACCCAAATAGGAGCCTGAGGGGACCTCTCGTGGACGTTCTCAGTAATGCACTCGAGAGGAACAAACGAAAACCACACGCTTATTAAGCACTCCAAAGTCAACCCCACAAACCGGTACAGGCTCCTCCCTGCTCCTATTTCGAAGATCCGCCTTCATCCTGCACTTCGGCTGTTGATTTCTCTCTCCTTTGTTGACTCGGCCATTGGCTCGCTGGGCCTGGCGCTTCCCAGAAGGCCCAGCGCCGACTAGGGGTTTGCTGCTGCTCCGTCATCGTGCGGCCCGACGCGATCCCGCGCTCGTGTGCAGGCCAGGCTCGGTTCCCGGTCCCGGGTGCGAGGGTTTACGCGAGGCCCCGGCCTCGGTTCCCGGATTAGGCCGTGACTCCGGGCGCTATGAAGCAGGACGGCTCGGCTCGGCGCCGCGGCACGGACAAGGCGAAGCAGCCGCCGGGCGGAGGGGAACAAGAACAACCACCGCCCCCAGCGCCCCAGGATGTGGAGATGAAAGAGGAGGCGGCGACGGGTGGCGTGTCAGCGGGAGAGAGCGACGGCAAGACGGCGACCGCTGAGCACTCTCAACGAGAGCTGGACACCGTCACCTTGGAGGGTAAGGGAGCCTGGGTCGGGGACGCGCCATGATCATGGGTGACAGCGACCCCGGCGATCCAACTTCGCTCTGGGACCTCAGCGCAGCCTCAGCCACCCTTAGTTTCTTGGGATCACACTCAAGTGCCTGCCCCTGCTACCCCGACACTCCCGACCCCAGCCCCAATGAATGAACCTTCTCTGCAGGCTGGAGACTACGCTCCTCACATCCCACCCCCGTCTCCCGCAAACCCCACGCATCTGGGGTTGCATTTAGATCTAGATCTCACTGGACCTGGGCACTCCCTCTTCTTAGGCCTCCCCACAACCTACTCTATTCACATCCCACTCCACCTGATCCTAGACTCAATATGGTTGATCTCTCTAGAAACCAGTGTTTGTGTTTATGTGTTTAAAGGGGACCAACATGACACAGAATACTGAGTTTTAAGACTGTTCAAAAGGTTTCTGTTGTCCTAGCAACCTTCAGCAAACTCCCCTAAAAGGACGGTTTCTACCTACAGCCTTACTAACTTATTTCTCTAATTGAAGTACCAGACGTCCCATTGCCCTTGTCCTTTCCCTTCAGAGCCTTACTCTCACCCTGTTCCTAAAGGGTTTAAATATATACACAAACGCTGGACTTTTTAGGTGTTATCTCTGTCTAGGTCCATAATATTCACCCTCTACCTAAATTCTTCTATACCAGTTCCATTTCTTTTCTCCTTGCTTCCTTTTCCCAGTCTCCGGTGGTCCTCTCATTCCTCCAAGTTTATGTGTTTTTTGGGTTGTTTTCTTTTTTAACTCCACTTAAAGTATCCTGTCCACAAATGGATTGAGTGGACGGCTTTCCACTGTGATCCTGATGCTGTTTTCCTGGCTCTGGATCAAGGGAACCAGACTGCTTGCCAGGTTTTCTTTTAATTGATGAGGAAGAAGCTAGCTTGGGAACATTAAGATAAGGAAAAAGTTATGCTCCTGAGTAGGGCATCTGAGGATGTGATAGTGTTGACTGCTCAGCCCCTGCTCTAAAGATGACCAACAGAATCCATGTCTAAGAGAACTACTGTCACCCAAAATAATAGCAGTGGCAAAGGTGCCATTCAGCCTGACCTACTGGGTATGTTTATTACGAACACCTCATGTTTTTGTTATAAGGTACTTCATTGTAGAAAGTTTGGGAAGTACAAGAAGACTAAAGTGGAGGGGGGGAGAGTCAGCCATGGTTAACTTTTTTATTTATTTATTTTTTTTGGAGAGGATTTTGCTATAGGGTGCGTGTGCTCTCCAGAAAGACAGACAGAAAGCGAGAAATCAGGGGGGATGGCCACGCCGCAATCTCTTCTCCTCCTTTCTCCTCTCAGGATCTTGGGCACATACACCTGGTGTGAGTTTAAGCCACAGGGTCCAGAAATCAAACTGTAGTTGACTACATGGGAGTCTAGCGACATAGCCATTACGCTATCTGCTGGTCCCTTTTTCTTATAAATTTTTGAACTAGCTCTACCATAATTGAGAGCAAGTTATATGAAGGGGGAGGGTCTTCAAAAAGTTTGTAGAAAATGCATATTATGAAAAGCTGCATTGATCTCAATTTTTTTGCACATATTTTAATTCCATTTTTCATGAATTTTTTTGAAGTCTTGAGTATACAGTTTGGATCAAGGTGTAACTAAATACAGATAATTTTGTATTTCATGTGTTTTCATGTAACATATCTGTAAGGGTAATCATTCCATTTATCCTGGAGGTAGATATTGAATATCTAATATAGGGTCTAAGAGTGTAAGTTCTAGAATTAGTTTCCTCATGTGAATTTTTTTTTAAGTGCCACAGTGCATATGTGTCACCCAAGAGTGTTCTAGAGAGAGTGAAAGGAGAAAGCACCCTACAGTGAGGGATGGTCATGATACAATCCCTTCTCCTCCATGTCTCACCCTGTTGGGATTTTGGGCACACTCACACATGTGCCCAATGTGGTTTGTTTTTGGTTTTTGAGTTTTTGGGGGTTTTTTTAACAGATTATTTTATTTAACTTTATTTATTTATTTATGTGCTCATTTTATTTTGACCAGAGGGGTACACAGCGGAGAGAGAGAGAGAGAGAGAGAGTGCAAGAGCATGCCACCAGGTCTGGTACTCAAACCGTGGTCGGCCATGTGGGAGTCCAGCTCCCTTAATCTCCACGCCACCTGCTGGCCCTTCCCAATGTGTTTTTCAAGCTGCTGGGTCCAGGATTTGAACCACTATCAGCCATGCAGTATCCAGCTTCCTTAACCCCTAGGCTACAGGATTGGCCCCTCATCTTTATAAGTGAGGTAATAATTCCTACTTTATGGGGTTTGTTGTCAACATTAAAATGCTTTGAACTGTGTGAAGCCAGATGGTGGCTCTGCAGTAGAATACAACACTCCTAAAGGCTCATGCACAGAGATGTTCTGGGTTCAGGTCTGCAGACCTTGAATGTGCCAGGGGTACACGTGTACCCCTAACCCAGGCTGGCTGAGGCTGGAAGGGACTCATAGTGTCAAGCCTGTCTCTCTCTTCTCTCTGTTATGAAAGAAATAAGCAAACTTAAAAAAAAAAATGCTTACAACTATGCCCAGCGTGTGGTGAACAATAGTAAATCTTTCATAAATAATTATCTGTTACTATTATATTATTAGCACCCTATGCTAATGCTGAGTATTCAGAGGTGACTAGGAAACTAAGAAACATTTCCTCATTGCTGGACATTTAAACCGTTTCTGGTTTCTTACTGTTATAAATAGATTTGCAACAATCATCTTTGTGATCAAGTTTTTCAATCTACTTTTAATTATTTTTAATTTTTTAAAATTTTAATTGTCATTATTATTGTTTTTTTTTTTAATTTCCTATAGGGTACATGTGCGAGAGGGAGAGGGAAATTGAGAAAGTAAGCCACCAGATCTGGGACTCTAATTGCAGTTGGCAATGTTGTCCAGTGCTCCAACCACCATACCATCTGCTAGCCTCTATTTTTTATGGTATAGATTCCCAGAATTTATATTCCTGAGCCAAAGAAGATGACCATTTTTAGTATTTTTGTTAATATTGTCCAGAAAAACTACTGAATTAAATTATACCAGAAACATCCTTTTCATTGTACTCATCATAAGTTTTAAAATACCAGTAATTTGATGGCTTAAAAATGTTTCCATATACAGGACCAGCAGTTAGTGTAATGGCTATGTCGCTGGACTCCCATGTAGTTGACTGCGGTTTGAGTCCCAGACCCAGCGGCTTAAACTCAGGCCAGACACGTGTGCATGTGTGCCCAAGATCCCGAGAGGAGAATGGAGGAGAAGGGATTGCGGCGTGGCCATCCCCCCTAGGGATGGCTTTCTGTCTCTCTGTCTCTCTCTGTCTGGCAAGCGCAGCAAAAAACTCTCCAAAAAAAAAAAAAAAAGTTTCCATTTGCAGCTATTATGAAGTTAATGAAATAATATGTGTGCTTTGTTCATTAGCTCTCTTTTTCTCTTTTGTGTTATGCCTTCGTGTTTCCATTTTTATTTTGAAACTGTAGAATATTTCTCTTAACCATTTATGTAGGCTCTTTGTGGAATAAAAATATCTATTGGGGCCCCTGTACGGATGAACGGATTGAAAAAACTGGCACATATATTCTATGGAATACTATTCAGCAGTAAAAAAAAAAAAAAAAAAAAAAACCTGGCTTTTGACAGAAAGTGGAAGAATATGGAAGATTTACTGCTAAGTGAAGCAAGCCAGGCTATGAAGGAGAGACACTGTATGTCCCCACTCAATATATACTGAGTGCTGAGTGTCCGCACTCTATAACTGAAACTGACGGGCTAAAGGGTGTACAAACACAAGAGATGGGTGTGAATGCCAGATGTGGTTTGTGTGGAGGAGTGGGGCCTGGGGGAAAACATTTGGAGGAGGGATACGGAGACAGCATTGTTGAGACAGGGAGGTAGTGTTACTATATTTTGATCAACTGGATGGGGAAGAAATGATCACCTTGTAAGCTAAATAATGTGATTGAATGTATTAAAAAAATGTTAAAAAAAAAAAAATTCATTGGGCCAGCCAGTTTTTGTGGTGGTGGTTGGGGTGGTTGGATCTCATGTGGCCAGCTTGTGGTTTGAGTCCCATACTCAGCAGCTTGAAAAACATGCCAAATACATGTGCATGGATGCCCAAAATATCTTTTTTTTTTTTTTTTGAGAGGTTTTTCGTTATAGGGCGCATGCGCTCGACAGACAGACAGAGACATAGAGACAGAAAGCGAGAAATCACCCCCCAGGGGGGATGGTCACGCCGCAATCGCTTCTCCATTCTCCTCTCGGGATCCTGGGCACACACGCACACGCGCCCGGCGTGAGTTTTAAGCCACCCGGTCCGGGACGCGAACCGCAGTCGACTACGTGGGAGTCCAGCGACATAGCCATTACGCTAACTGCTGGTTCCCAAGATGCCCAAAATATCAAGAGGAGATGGGAAAAGAAGGGATTGTGGTGTGGCCATCCCCTCTGGGGGATGATTTTTCACTTTTTATATCTGGCAAGTGCAAGCACCCTATAGCAAATGAAAAAAAATTTTTTTAATATATGAATCTTCGCACATATTTGTTACACATATTTTTCTTTTGATTATACAATAATTCAGGAAGTTCATTTTGTTTTGTTTTTGTTATAGGGGTGTGCGTTCACCAAAAAGAGGCAGTGGTAGGTGGAGAGAAATCACTCCCCAAGGGGATGGTCATGCTGCAGTCCCTTCTCCTCCAGTCTCTTCTTGGGATCTTGGACATGTATGCATACAGGCCTAGTGTGATTTTTCAGGTTGCCAGGCCCGACACTTGAACTGTATAGCTGGCTATGTGGAATCCAGCACCCCAATTATCCATGCCACCTGATGACCCCTAATTCAGATTTTTTGTGAGATTGATAGATCATCGATTGTGTGTGTATGTGTGTGTGTGTGTGTGTGTGTGAGAAAGAAAGATTTTTCCCATTGTTTACACTGTGGTGTGGTTCCCTTAACTGCTAGGCTATGTGGCCGCCCAGTAGAAAGTCTCTATCCTGGGCCAGTTCCATGGCCTAATAGTTAAAGCAGTCAGATCCCAAATGGCCAGCCTCACTGAGTCCCAGACCAAGCTGCTTGAGAAACACTGGGCATGTGTGCATAAGTGCATGCGTGTCAAATGCCAAAAGGAGGGAGAGATGGAGAACGGTTTGTAGTGTGACCGTTCCCCGTGGGGAGTGCCTTGTCCTCTCCCTCTCTCGGGCAAGCCACATGCTCTCTAGCAAAAAAAAAAGAGTCTATTTAAAAAATCTGATAAATCTCCATGTATCTTTTTTATTTCTTGTTTCTTCTTTTCTTCCTCTTTCTCTCACCCTCCACTCCATCCCAGCTATATATTTCCTTGTCTCTGGTTCTGTCTTAAAATCAATGTATGGACTCAGTAAATAATGCTCACCCCATTAGACCAAAAGAAGTGACTAGCCGCATTTAACCCCTTTGTAAGAGACTCCTTAGAACTCTGTGCCTGGAGTGGTGGGAGATTAGGAGGAGTTGGAAATAATACTGTTTTTTCCTCTGTCCTCTGCAGACATCAAGGAGCATGTGAAGCAGCTAGAGAAGGCCGTTTCGGGCAAGGAGCCGAGATTCGTGCTAAGGGCCCTCCGGATGCTTCCCTCCACATCCCGCCGCCTTAACCACTATGTTCTGTATAAGGCTGTGCACGGCTTCTTCACCTCAAATAATGCCACTCGGGACTTCCTGCTACCCTTCCTGGAAGAGGTGAGTGTGGGCCTTAGAACCCCCTCGGGATATAATTGTTTCCTGTTCTGAAGACCTGCCTTATTACCTGCTGCAGCATGAGGAGCAAAGCCAGAGCAGCAACCTCCACCCTTTTTTTTAATATCCGGGCGAGACATAAAGAGGGAGAGAGCACCCTTCAAAGTGTCACCATGCGAGAAGTGTCTCCAAAGTCACCATGGGAGAAGTATAGAACAGTAGTTAAGGGCCCAGGTTTTAGAAGTAGAGTTCATGGACCAGCAGATAGCATAATGGTTATGTTACTGTACTCCCATGTAGAAGACCATGGTTTGAAAACCGGATCTGACAGCTTGAAACTCATACCAGGCACATGTGTATGCATACTCAGAATCCAGAGAGGAGAGTGGAGGAAAAGGGACTGTGGCATGACAATCCCCCAGAGGATGATCTCTCACTTATTATCTCTCTGTCTCTCTAGTGAGGACATGCACCGCACCCTGTAGCAAAAATCTCTCAACAAAGAAAGAAAGAATTAAATTGAAATCTAAACTCTACCAGTTAGTGCCCATGCGTCTTAAACAAGTTACTTAACCTTCAGGTGAAGAGGTTAACCTCCCTTAACCTCATTTTCTTCACTTGTTAAATGTGATGAATGATTTGGGGGTGAGGAAGGTGTGTACAAAGCTCTTAGAACAGTGCCTGCACATGGTGAATGCATGTCAGTTTGATGGTGGTCCCCATGCAAGACTGGCTTCTTATCCTTTTTAGCTATGAAATCCCCCTGGATATTCAGGCACATCCCATGTCTCAGCCCCCTTAAACCTCACTGACCTTTCTGCCTCTCCCTAAAGTCTTACATGTGCATAGCCTGTGCTTTAAATATGAAGACTCCGAAAATCGCTGAAAGATGTTTGTTATGCAGGAAAGTGGAAAAGTGTACCCTGTTCCAGCTCTACCTTGAATGTTTTCTCTTTTTTTTTTGGAGAGGTTTTTGTCATAGGGCGCGTGCGCTCGCCAGACAGACAGAGAGAGAAAGCGAGAAATCACCCACCCACCCCCCACCCCCGGGGGGATGGCCATGCCGCAGTCCCTTCTCCTCCATTCTCCTCTCGGGATCCTGGGCACTCACGCACATGCGCCTGGCGTGAGTTTAAGCCACCGGGTCCGAGACGTGAACCACGGTCAACTACATGGGAGTCCAGTGACATAGCCATTACGCTAACTGCTGGTCTCTACCTTGAATGTTTTCTAACCTTGACATCTCTCAATTCCCCACTTGTCATCATTTTGGGGACTGACTGTTACCCCTTATTTCTTCCACTTTTGATAACTAGTTCTGAAAAAAATATAGTGTATATGTCAGTTTCTTCTGAGCTTCCTTTGTTCCTATAAAACAAATCTTTATTTGGGACCAGCAGTTGGCATAATGGCTATTTCGCTGGACTCCCATGTAGTCGACTGCAGTTCCAGACCCAGTGGCTTAAACTCACGCCAGGCGCATGTGCGTGAGTGCCCAGGATCCCGAGAGGAGAATGGAGGAGAAGGGATTGCGGCATGGCCTTCTCCCCTGGGGGGTGATTTCTCGCTTTCTGTCTCTCTGGTGAGCGCACATGCCCTATAGCAAAAACCTCTCCCAAAAAAATGAACCTTTTTTTGTCTCAGTCTTAATTTCATCTCTAGAATTCTATCACTTCGTTAAGTCCTGTCTGCGGTGGTTCCAGTTTGGCGGTTTAGACTGTGGTTCACTGAGGGCTCCCAACATCCGTTGCCTTTTATGTCCCTCCTGTGAAGAAGCCCAGGTATTCCTGGGACTTGTTACTGTATTTACTGCACAGCCAACCTCCTTGATTCCCTCAGGAAAGAGGCTGTGTTGTCTTTATTTTCATTTCTCCAGTACCTGGTAGTCTTGACACATACCAAGTACTCAGTAAATATGTACTGAAATACATAGTGGGGGGCCTCGTAAACCCTTGGTCAATTGAGTTTTCCCACAATTCCTGTCCTTCCTAGCCCATGGACACAGAAGCCGACTTACAGTTCCGTCCTCGCACAGGAAAAGCTGCTTCAGCACCCCTTCTGCCTGAAGTGGAAGCCTATCTCCAACTCCTCATGGTCATCTTCCTGATGAACAGCAAGCGCTACAAAGAGGTATCCAGGATGTGGAATGAGTAACGAGCCCCAAGCAGTGTGAGGGATTGTGGGCAAGATTGTCCCTAGTGAGGCACCATCCTTCAGACTTGCCCTGTGTGAGTGTGCACTCACCTCCATGTCGTTCCTGCTCTGGGCGCCTTGGGAAGGGCTGACTGGTCATTCTGTCCCCATGCGTTTCTCAATACCAGAGTAGTGGCTTCTTTGGAGAAACATGGGGACTTTGGACACAGAAAGAACTGGGTTCCAATAGTTGTACCTTGGGGGAATTAATTTCTTCTCCTAGCTATTTATAAAATAGAGATAACAATGCCCACCTTCCAAGATTGTTATATCACATAAAATACTATGTTTAAAAATACTTAGCACATGATCTGCACATAGTAAGTTTTCACAGTATTTTAATAAATGGGACTGAACGGTATTTTGGATGTTACACCTCCGTCATGCCTCCAGCCAGCTTGCTGCCTCGTCAGCCACAGCCACTGTCACAGGAGCATGCTCAAGAAATGACAGTCTGGGGCTGGCAGGTGGCGAGGTGGTTAAAGGAACTGGATTCCCACGTGGCCGAAGGTGATTCTAGTCCTGGTGGCTTGCTTTTTCGCTTACCTTTCTCTCTCTGTCTTTCTCAGGTCCAATTAAAACATAATAGTAACAAATGGAATCAATTACATAAATAAATCATTATTTTTTTAAAGAAAAGAAAAGAATGATGGGTCCTGCTCCTCAGTTCTCTGCTTGCATGTTTTTGTTTGTTTCTGAGATATAATTCACCTCCTTCCAATGTTCAGCTTTTAGTTTTTAGTTTATTCACAAGGTTGTACACCACTACTACTAATTCCACAAACATTTTCTTTGCCCCGAAAGGAAACATCACTGCCCATTCTCCCTTCACCTCAGCCCCTGGCAACACTCATCTTTTTGTCTTTATAGAGGATTTGCCTATTGTGGCTATTTCATATAAATGAAATTATAGAAAATACACCCTTTGTAGCTGGCTTTCGATTGGCGTGATGTTTTAAAGATTCATCCGTGTTGTAGTGTTTCAATCAGTACTTCGTTCCTGTTTTTGAGTAATATTCCAGATATGGATTTGCCATATTGCCATATTTCTTTCCAGAGGGCACACGCACTTGCCAATGAGAGAAAGAGATGGCACTCTCTCCCCCATAAGGGTGTGGTCATTTCCCATCCTTTTGGGATTTGGGGCACACCTGCACATGCATCTGGTGTGTTTTTCAAGCCACTGGGGACCAGGATTCAAACCATGCAGTTGGCCTTGTGGGATCCTGCTCTTTTAACACAGGACCAGCCCTGTTTATTCATATTCAGCCAAGGGACCTTTTGGTTATTATGAATAATGCTGCTGTGGCTGGTGCACAGGTTTTCATGAGAACATGTTTCCAGTTCTCTTGGATGTATAGCTAGGTGGCTCATACAATAACTCCATGTTTAGCCTTTTGAAGAACTTCCTCTTGATTCTCTTTTGGCTTCCTCCCCAGGCACAGAAAATCTCAGATGACCTAATGCAGAAGATAAGCACCCAGAACCGCCGGGCCCTAGACCTTGTGGCCGCAAAGTGTTACTATTACCACGCCCGAGTCTATGAGTTCCTGGACAAGCTGGATGTGGTGCGCAGGTACAGGTGGCCCTTGGGGCCAGTGGCTTGGTCATTCACTCCACAGGGCTGCAGACTTGCCGAGGGTGAGGAGCTGGGCGTTGTGAGGTGTTCACCAGGAAGGGGGAGTGAAGATTAATGTGCCGAGCCATGCAGGCGCCTTGGAGAGAAACTGACTCCCGGTGAAGAATGGAGATAACCGCTGGACTGTTCAGAGTGGTCTCCCAGGCGCTTCCCTTCTCCAGAAGAGGAAGGCCTGAATGGTGGCTTAGGGTGGAGGAGCAGGCTGGGAAACATTTTACTCCTCTGCTTGAAACCTGTAGCGGTTTCCCATTTCCTTGAAGGAAGAGCCAAACCCTCAGGACGGCTTGTAAGGCCCAACATGGCCTGCCCCGTTACTTCTCCTTGGCTTCTCCTCTCCCCTGCAGCTCACTCTCGGCACCCTGTTTGCCTCCTCCATGTCCTTGGGTGAGCGACACATCCTCTTCTCAGAGCCCATGCACTGGCTCTTCCCTCTGTGAGAATGTACTTCTCCCTCCCTCCTTCCGTCCTTCACTTAATCATCACCCTCTGGATGAGTCCTGCAGTGACCGAGCTATTTAAAATCTCAGACCCATCCCCCTCGCCTCCTGCGTGTCCTGTTGACTTACCCTGATTTCATCACAGCCCCTACCACCCTGTGATGTGCTACAGAAGCTGCTCGTCTGTCATGGTCATCATCTCTCTGCCCTGCTAGAAAGTCTGCCCCCTGAGAGCAGGGTCTTGTCCCGTAGGTGCACCCAGAGTAACTCCACATGGTAGGTAGTCGGTAGTCACATATTCCGTGAATAACCAGGAAAGCAATTTGTATCATTTTTTTAGATACTGAGAAAATGAAGAGTCAACAGCAATTCATAGAGCTGTTCTTTGATGCCTTTGACACTTTTTCTTTCCTTCTTGAAGCTTCTTACATGCTCGACTCCGGACAGCTACCCTTCGGCATGACGCGGACGGGCAGGCCACCCTGCTAAACCTCCTGCTGCGGAATTACCTACACTACAGCTTGTACGACCAGGCCGAGAAGCTGGTGTCCAAGTCGGTGTTCCCAGAGCAGGCCAACAACAACGAGTGGGCGAGGTACCTCTACTACACAGGTGAGCGGAGGCCCACCCGCACCCCTCACCACAGCAGGCGTCTCAGGCTCGCTTGGTGCAACTCTAAGGGTGCTGCATTTGGAACTCTGCTTTGCCAAGGGGTTTGCATGATGCCACTTCCTTTGTTGTTTTTTTGGTTTGTTTGTTTTTAATGCCAGAGGGCATGTACACTCAGCAGAGAGAAAGGAAGGGGGAGGAAGCACCCTACAGTGGGCGTGGTCATGTCATGGTCTCCTTTCCTCCATTCCCCATTCTATTGAGATTTGAGGCACTTGTGCACATCAACCCAGCATGATTTTCAAGCCACCTGGTTGGGATTCAGCTGCAGTCTACTTGTGGGATCCGGCCCCCTTCACCCCTAGGCCACAGGGCCTGCCCGTGAGGCTGCTCACTTGACACTCTCCTTTCCTCTGCACGCAGGGCGAATCAAAGCCATCCAGCTGGAGTACTCAGAGGCTCGGAGAACAATGACCAATGCCCTTCGCAAGGCCCCTCAGCACACAGCTGTCGGCTTCAAACAGACGGTGAGTCGTCGTTCCACCATGCCATCCCCTCTTGCTCATCTGATACCACTGCAGTTGTGTTTCCCTGTTAAGAGTGGGGAAGGCATCCTTAATCCTCACAACCCAGAAGTTGCATTGGACGTCTATTTGCACATACTTTCAGAGCACACAAAGCAGAGGCCTCCTGCACCTCTGGTAGTTCATATTCGGAGTACTCGAGATTAGAATGCTCCTGCCTCCCCAGCACTCCTGCCAGGCTTTCTAGGCGTGGGCCAGTGCTGGGTTGGAAAACCCCAGGCTTTCACCTGCTCCTTCATATGCCCACTGGGGAGCAGCGTTATCTGGGGCAGAGAGCCTAGAAAATCTCCATAAGGGGGCCAGCAAGTGGCGTGGTGGTTAAGGCACTGGACACTCCCACGTGGCTGACCACCGTTTGAGCCCTGGACCTGTGGCTTGCTTTCTCACTTCCTCTCTGTGTGTCTATCTTTCTCTGGTCAAATTAAAATAAATGAATAGATAAGTAAAGTTTTGGTTTTTTTTGTTTTTTTTTTTTTTTTTAAAGAAAATCTCCATAAGGCTGACTGACTTGGGGTAGAGATCTACCTGGGCCCTGAGGATTGTCAATCACAAGTATTTCTTTTTAGCATTGATCCTGGTATCAGATACCTTGAGGGATAGGAAAGAAGGATAAGAAGTAGTACATGAGGCCGGCAAGTGGCATGATGGTTAATGCACAGAACTGCCCCATGACTGACCATGGTTCAAGTCCTGGACCTGGCAACTTGCTTCGTCATTGTTTCCCTCTCACTCTCTTTCTGTTTTTCTCTTAATTTGTCCTTAGCAAGTTAAAAAATAATAATATTAAGTAAATAATTCTTTAAAACAAAACAAAAAGAGGAATAGTTCTTACAGGTCGCATTTTCTTTCTTTTTTAAAAAAATTTGCCAGAGGAAAATTTTTTTTCATGTACTCACCTGAGAGAGGGAAAGGGAGGAAATCCCTTCCAAAGGAGTGTGGTCACAGCACAGTCCCTTCTCCATTCCTCCGTCCTGTCAGGATTTGGGTCATGGACACACACACACACACCTGGCATGTTTTCAAGGCTTCAGGGTGGGAACTGCAAATAAGGTCAGCTATTTGGGTTCCTGCTTCCTTAACTAGTGGGCTGTGGAGCTAGCCCCAGAGATGCTATTTTGAAGAGATAAAGACTGTTGACTCAAAAAGGTTTGAGGGTCTGTGTAAAGTCACAGAACCCAGCAGCCCGAATTTAGACCTTATTTTCCCACCGACAAACCTCTGCTTCTACTTACCACAACATCCTCCTCTGTACCCTTGGCGGGAAATAGGGTAAACACATGTGAGGATTAACCAGCATTAGTGGAGATTCATCCTGTTCTGCTCAGAGGTTCGGAGAAAGGAGGTTTGTTTTGGGTCAAATAATTAGAGAGTTCCCAAAGAGAGAGTTAAATTTGAACTGGTTTTTGAAAGCTGGGTGGGGTTGTCACAGAAAGGAACGGGACACAGGAGATAGGAGCAAACTGTTGGGTGACCTCCCAGCCCCTGCAGCGCAGTGATGCTGTGGCCTGCATGGCTGCATGCCGCATACCAACTGTGGATACGCGTCTCCGGGTTGGCAGGAAAACATCCTGGGCTTGTGCACAGGGACCGGGATCCTCAGGCACTGTAGACCTAGGGATGTCGCAGCAGGACAAGCTGTGTCAGGGCTGCTTTGTTGCTCGTGCTCTCATAGGTGGGCATCCGTGTTCTCTGCCACTGAAAAGGAACTTAGAACCAGCCCTGCCTCCTAGTGGTCAAGGGAGCCAGATCTCACATGGGCGGCTGCGTGGTCCTAATCCCTGCCCCTGAGCAGTCAGAACACACAGCACAAGTACTTGCGTGCCCCAAACCCCAACAGGATGAAAGAATGGAGGAGGAGTGGTTGCATCGTGATTGTGCCCACTAGGGAAGTGCCTTCTCCTCTCCTTCTCTCTGTCTCTCTGGTGAGCACACATACCTCTGGTAATTCTGTTTAAATATACGGTTGCTTACAGTACACGACACGCACTAAAGTTTCTTTAAAAAAAAAAATGATTGAAAATGCAGATAATCTATGGAGAGTGCCACATGTGGGGGCCAGCAGGTGGCATGGTGGTTAAGGCACTGGACACTCCCACATGGCTGACCATGGTTCGAGTCCTGAACCTGGTGGCTTACTTTCTCACTTTCCCTCTCTCTCTCTGTATCTCTATCTCTGGTCAAATTCAAATAAGTGAATGAATAAGTTTTAAAAAATTAAGTAATTCTTTAAAAAAAAAAAAAAAAGAAGAAAGTGCCACATCCATAATAACAATAACAACTCTGACCCCTCTCATGAGCCACAGACCAACAAATACAACTCCCCTCCCCCATTGCTGTGCAGCTGCCCCGCCTCCTCAAACTCAGCCTGTCCCAGACGCTTCCGGGTACCTAACCAGTCCTTCATCCTGCTCCCCTGATCCACCCAGGAGCCTCAGGATTGTCTCTGAGTCCTCCCTCCTCCTCCCCCACCACTGAGTCATCCCGTCTGTCCCCATGTCTTTTGTGTTTTGTCTACCCTGACTGCCTGTGCCTTTGTTCGATCCACTAACGTTTCTGGACTCTTCTGACCAGTCACTGTCTTCCCCTCCACCCCCCGAGCTCACACACAGTTGCATCTTCCCCTTCCCCAGGAAGCTTCACATCTCACACTGTGTGCCCAGCACAGTATCCTCAGCCTCTGTGGGAGGACCGGCCACGTGTCGTTACTGTTGTGCCCACAGAGTGGATGAGGGGGCCGGGAACTCGGTCACTCCGCCTAGCATTCAGAGCGGACACCCCAGGCCATCTCTCTTTTTGCCTGAGGGTGCATGTGCCTGCCAGAGAGAAACAGGGAGAGTGAGAAAAGCACCGCCAAGGAGCATGGTCACACCGTAGTCCCTTCTTTCCTCATCCTTTTGGGATTTGGGGCACGCATGCACACACACATGCACCCAGCATGTTTTTTAAGCCTCCTGGGCCAGGATTCAAACCACACAGTCAGCCATATGGAATCAGGCTCCCTAAACTGCTAGTCCATGGATTAGCCCTGCTGTGTGAGAATTCTTGTGTGTGGTTTGGTTTGATGTTGGTTTGGGGTCTTTTGTTTTTGTTTTCAGTGCTAAAGAGCACAAGTGCTCACAAGAGAGAGGGAGAGGAGAAATCATCCCGCATTGGGAATGGTCACTGCAGCCCCTTCTTCATTTATCCCACCTTTCTGGGTTTGGGGCATGTGTGTACACATTCCGGTGTGTTTTTCAAGCTGCCGGGTCCTGGACTTGAACTCTGTGGGTGACTATGTGAGATCAATCTGCCTTAACTCCAGGCCATGCTAGTCCGCTTTGTCAGAATTCATTTTTTTTTATAATTATTCATTTTATTTTTATTATCATTATGATTCTTTCATTTAACCAGAGAGGGAAAGTGAGAAAGCAATTCGCCAGGTCCAGAACTTGAACCGTGATTGGCCATGTGGGAATTGAGCACCTTAACCACCAACCCCTGGCCCCTCTCAGAATTCTTAAAAGAAGTCTTTTTTTTTTTTTGCTTTCTCACTTTCTCTCTCTGTCTCTCTTTGATCAAACTGGAAAATAATAATGATAATAATAAATAAAGTTAAATAAAATAATTATTTTTTTAAAAAATGACAGAGACACAGAGAAAGCGAAAAATCACCCCCCGGGGGGGATAGCCACACCGCTATCTCTTCTCCTCCATTCTCTTCTCGGGATCTTGGGCACACACGCATGCATGCCCAGAGTGAATGTAAGCCACCAGGTCCAGACTCGAACCACAGTCAACCAGGAGTCCAGCGACACAGCCCTTAGCCAACTGCTGGTCTCGCCATGGTCCCCAAAAAAAGAATACTTAAGGAATTCTATTCTACCGTTTCCCGTGCTGCTTCCTCCACTGGATAACTAGTTCTAGATACCGGTCACCTCCTCCTACCCCTCTAGGAGCAGCCCGGTTTCCTACCCAGCAGCTCTGTCTGGCTCCCATTCCACTCCCTATGGCTCTGAGCCCTGTACCTTCACTTTTTCTGAGCCCCAAATCCTGCCCACTAGCCCTGACTTGAGAGCATTGCCATTTCAGAGCCCTGTGGGCCCTGCTTGGCAATGGCGTTATGCTGAGGGCACAATGTGGTCGCAGGACAGATATTCCCTGTGCCTCACTCCAAGGGCATGTGACTCCACGCCCAGTTAGGTCTACAGGGCCCTGTCCTCTCTCTGTGGCCTGTCAGAGTCCTGCCTTCCCCTCCCCCAGTGTGTCCCCATTTCGCGCTCTCCCTCCACCCGGGGCTCCTTGCTCCCATGTCCCCGTGTCGCCCTCTGTGCAGGTGCACAAGCTTCTCATCGTGGTGGAGCTGCTGCTGGGAGAGATCCCGGACCGGCTGCAGTTCCGGCAGCCCTCCCTCAAGCGCTCGCTCATGCCCTACTTCCTTCTGACCCAAGGTAAGGCCAGTCCCCACCCAGAGCCTACCTGACCCTTCCTGTGGCCTGTGTGCACCATCGGATCCACTCCTCTCCCCTTGCAGCTGTCAGGACAGGAAACCTAGCCAAGTTCAACCAGGTCCTGGATCAGTTTGGGGAGAAGTTTCAAGCAGACGGAACCTACACCCTCATCATCCGGCTGCGACACAACGTGATTAAGACAGGTGGGGGCCAGCTCTGAGGAGCCACTGGATGGGCAGGGCCCGGTGGGCTTCTCCAAGGGACAGGACCCTCCCTGTGGGTGGACGTGGGTGGGTGGAGGACTGTGTCTGCCCTGCCCACCCCACGGTTCCCTCCCTCTCAGGCGTACGCATGATCAGCCTCTCCTATTCCCGAATCTCCCTGGCTGACATCGCCCAGAAACTGCAGCTGGACAGCCCGGAGGATGCAGAGTTCATCGTTGCCAAGGTGGGGCTGGCTCAGGGACCGCAGCAGCCGAGGTGGCCACCTTCTTACCTGTCTCAGGGTGGACGTGAGGGGACTTTGACCAAAGAGTGGGACAGGTAGAGCAGTGCAGTGTTTTCAGGGAGTGCCAGCCATTTGCTAGAGAGCCAGTGAGTGTGTGTGTGTGTGTGTGTGTGTGTGTGTGTGTGCATAAGCACGCACCTACATGAGTAAGCAAGTGAATATATGAGAGTGTACGGAGGACAGAGGAGTGAAATGGAACAAGATGTTCTCAGACCTCGAAGATGGACCTTCTGATGACCTTTCCTCCCTCTGGGGACCCGCAGGCCATCCGGGATGGCGTCATTGAAGCCAGCATCAACCATGAGAAGGGGTACGTCCAGTCCAAAGAGATGATTGACATCTATTCCACCCGAGAGCCCCAGCTCGCCTTCCACCAGCGCATCTCCTTCTGCCTGGATATCCACAACATGTCCGTCAAGGTGAGGCTCTCTGGGCAGCGGGGCCTGGGCCTGGCCTGGGCCTGGACCGTGGGTAGCAGCATACCCCTGCCTCCCTCCCCCACACACGGGCTCAGAGAAGCTGGGCTTGGCCCATCTGTGAAATCATTGAGAGGCTGGATGGGGGCTCCTGAGGAAGAAAGGGCTTTGCTGAAGTTCCACCCCGACCACCTGGGGCTGCACACCTCCTGCTATTGCTTCGAAGGAGAGTGGTCACCGGGGACCAGCCAGGGACTCAAGAGTCTAGACTTGGTTCCAAGTCTGAGTCATTTCACATGTAGCCTGCTTCTCCATCCGTGAAATGGACAGTGAGCTGTTCCCTGCCTCGCCTACTATGCGGGGGTGGTCAGATTAAATGAAGCCTGAGTTGAGACACTTGCGAGGCCTGAACTATGTAAGTGCAGTCCAGCTCCACAAGAGGTTACTAAGCTCTTGTCCTCTGTCAGGTACTGAGTTTAGGGCTGATGCTATCTGACTCTGTTTTTTTCTGGTCTCCTCCCAGGAAATCAGGGATAGTGCCACCGTGCTTACAATCTGTCAAAACCAGGGCCAGCAGGTGGCACAGCGGTTAAGGCACTGGATCCCATATGACAGGCTCTAGTTTGAGTCCCGGGCCTGGCAACTTGAAAAAACACACCTGGCACATGTGTGTGTGTGTGTGTCCTAAATCCCAAGAGAAGACTGGAGGAGAAGGGATGGTGATATGACCAGCCCCCCCGGGCGGGGTGATCTCTCACTCCCCCTCCCTCTTTGGAGAGTATACACACCCTATGGCAAAAGTCTTTTTTATTTTAATAATTATTTATTTATTTATATTTATTAATTCATTTATCTTAATTTGACCGAGAAAGACAGTCATACAGAGAGAAGGAAAGTGAGAAAGCAAGCCACTAGGTCCAGGACTCGAACCGTGGTCGGCCATGAGGGAATATCCAGCACCTTAACCACCACACCACCTGCTGGCCCCTATGGCAAAAGTCTAAAAATAAATTGAAGCCATACCCGACATGGCATGTGGGGCCCTTCGTCATCTGGTTCTTTCTGTGTCACCCTGCCTCCCACTACTGCTCCCCACCACTCCCCTGTCTAGCTCAGCCAGGCCTCTCATGGCTCCTCCACTTGGAAGGCCTCTCCTATTCCCACACCATGTATTCCCCTCTCCCTTCTCCTGCCCAAGTCCAGCGAGTCGGTCTCTGTGTTCTTCCAATTCCTGAGTCACTCGCTCTGCTCCTGAGCGTTAGCCACCTGGCACAGGGCACGGTGGGCACAGCCCACAGTGATCGTCCTTCCAGCCCCAGCTTCCCACTGGGCCGGGCTGGTGAGGCCGCCTCCACCCTTCCATCATCGCCCTCTCTCCGCTCTGCTCCAGGCCATGAGGTTCCCTCCGAAATCCTACAACAAGGACCTGGAGTCCGCAGAGGTAAGCTGGGGCCTGCAGGACGGGCTGGGAGCTGCTCTGGCGAGGGGGCGGCTGATCTCACCACCTCTGTCCTCAGGAACGGCGGGAGCGGGAGCAGCAAGACTTGGAGTTTGCCAAGGAGATGGCAGAAGATGACGACGACAGCTTCCCCTGAGCTGGGGGCCTGGGGACGGGTTGGGTGATGGGAACTGGCTCCTTCTCTCCCCCTGCCCAGGGACCTGGCCCCTTTTCCCACACACAGCTCACTGGCTGCACATGTGCAGGGGGGGGGGTCCTGGCAGCTGGCCATCCCCACCTCAACCCAGGGCCCCTCCCCAGCCGGTGAGTTAGCACTCTGCGGGCAGGAGGACCGGCAGGCGGCCTCCCAGGGCAGGGTCCTGGCTAGTGTGTGGGCAGCAGGAGGGGCATAGCCCTGAGCTCTCCTCCAGGGAGCAGGGGGCAGGAATTGGGACGTGTTGGGTTATATGTTTTTTGAAGCTTCAATTATGATTTTTAAACAATAAAAAGTTCTCCAAAGCTGTCTGTGCAGGCCCTCCGCTTTGCTCCTGGGGCTGCAGCATTGACCGGCCTGAGGTTTTCTTGGTCTTGAGTATGAGCCCCACGTGCAGTCTGGGTCAGTGTGTCTGTGGGGGAGGAAGAGGAAGCCAGGGGGTGGGGAGGCAGCCCTGGGCTGGAGCAGAAAGGGCCCAGGGAGGCCGGACCGCAGTGCAGCACTAAACACGACGATGCTCTCCAGGCAGCCCATGTGAGGTTGCGGGTTTGCATCCCGAGACCTCCCAGAGGACCCGGTACACCTGTGCGCATGGCCAGGGCTGGCTGAGCTGGGGTGGGTCGCGGTGCCAAGACCCCATCGGGTGCTGCCTCGCCCTTCTCCCTCGTGGAAGAAAGAAGCTTGAAAAGAAAGGAAATGTCCTGGGCTTACTCTTGATCTAACTGGCTCTTAAATATTGGGCAAGTCCCTTAAACCTCCCGGGCTTCTTCCTCACATCTGTCAAATAAAGTTCAGTGACCTAGCTCTTAAAATTGGGAATCTACCTTCTGTCTAGAAACGGAAAGGATAAAAGTTGGGAGGGGTATGCGGCAGCAGACAGCATGAGGTTAAGACAGCTGGATCCCACATGGCCTCGTTTGAGTCCAGACCCGGCAAGTTGAGAAACATGGTGGGCACTTGTGCGTGCACACCTAAAATCTCAAGAGGAGGACGGGATTGTCATAGGCATGGCATCTCCTCGGGGGTGATTTCTCACTCCCCCTCCCTCCCCAGGCAGGCACATGTGCCCTATAGCAAAACTTAAAAAACAACAACAAAAAAGGGTGAAAGTGACCCTCCGGGAAGGTGCAGAGTGAAGAGCAGCACGCGTGCAAGTTGAGAATGGTTTTGCGCAGCTGGCTCTGTGGGGCGCGGCTGCCCGGTCGCCCCCAGCCCACCCACTCCAGCTGCCAGAATGGAGCAAACAGGCCTGCCAGGTCTGAAAGTCCTGTCTGATTGGTCACAGCACCCCGTGCGCCGGGCCCTTGGAAATGCTGTGGCTTCTGACTGATATGTGGGACGAGGCTGTGCCGTCCTCGTTCTTGCCAAACCATCCATTAGCTGGGAACCGCCTCGCGGGTTCTGCCTCACCCTACTGTTCCCTGGAGTCCTGGACCCAGCAGGCCCTCCGTGATGGGTCGGAGCCCTGGCTTGGGGGCCACCCACTTGAGAATGAGATGCTTTCTTTGGGAGGGGGCTGAGGTGAGAGCCTCGGCCTCTCTGCCAGTCTGCAGCTTCTCCAGAGCTGAGGCTTTCGTGTCCTGCCTGGCCCCCAGAGGCGCTCGTGTGCCCTGTGCTCAGCACAGCTGGGACTCCTCTCAGTATTCAGAATGTCCACTGGCCTGGCTTTGCTTTCTGACGCCAGCCTAGCCCAGCCTGGCATCGCCCACACTCCCAGTTTCTGCCACCTCTCAGTCTACCGAAACTCCTGAACGAGGCTTTGGGAAACGGTGCTTTCTCCTATTTTCCCCAAACTGATCCCTCAATCTTTGCAGAAAAGGTTTTTGTTTCTTAATTTTGCCAGAGGGCATGTGCACTCACCAGAGACGGTGAAGGAGGGAATAAGCAGCCCCCGTGGGGTGTAATCACACCCCAATCCCTTCTCGTTTCTCCATCCTAACAGGATTTGGGGCACACGCACACCCACCCTGCACATGCCTTAGGCTGCAGGGTGCAGGACTCAAACTGAACAAGCAGCCATGGGGTCTGCCTGCCTTGACCCCCAGGCCAGGGCCACCTGTGGAAGATGCTTTCCTGCTAGTTGTCTAAGTTCTTCATTGGTTTTGAGGATTCCTTGTTTGTTTTGTTGTTGTTTGTTTAGTTTTGTTTTGAATTTGCTATAGGATGCAGGAACCGAGACAGAGAGGGAGACCAGGGAAAAGAGAGCACGGCGGGGGTGGGGGGCTGCACACCGTCTCTTCTGCTCTCCTCTTGGGATTCTGGGCACCCACACACGTGCACCGGCTGTGCTTTCCAAGTCACTGGATCCAGAACTCAAACCGTGCAGCTGGCCATGTGGGATCCAGCTGCCTCATCCACCACGCCACTCGCTGGCCCCCTGCCCCCGTTTTATCTGATTTTGACCTCTTTCTAGAGGCTAAAAAAAAAGGAGGAACTCAGTTCAGGTGCTCAGGTGCACAAAAGAGAGAAGAGTGTGGCGGGCCAATTAAATCTAATAGAGAGCCAGCCTGTGGCATGATGGTTAAGGCAGCTGGATCTCACACCGCCAACTGTGTGGTTCGAGTCCTGACCCAGCAGCTTGGAAAACACGCCAGACACGCGTGCGTGTGTACCCCAAATCCCGAGAGGAGGATGGAAGAGAAGGGATGCAGACTCCAACCAGGGGTTAATTTCTCACTCTCTCCCTCTTGCTCTGAGCACACACGCCCTATAGCAAATTTAAAAACAGGAATCCAGGACAGGGGAGGCAGGGGACTGATGCTGAAGACCTGCTGCATGTCCTTTGGGTGCGAGGACAGGCTCGGGTGGGTGAAGGAAGCTGCTGTGGCAGGAGCCAGGGAGCGGACCCAGGCCTTCCTGATACCAAGCTCAGCTCGCATCCTCAGGCTGCCCTCTCCCAGCCTCAGCTGGGACCTCCGGGTTTTCTCGTTTTTGTTTTTTTCAACATGTATTTCTTGGCGTACTTATTTGTGATTTTTCAAGCCACCAGGTCCAGGACTTGAACCACAGTTGACCAGCTATGGGAAAACAGCTCCTCAGCCATCTTGCCACCTACTGGCCCCCAGGGCCTCTGTTACCTGGTGGTTTTGTTTGGTTTGGGCCCGTGTGGCTGTCCTAGCCTTGACGGCAAAGCCGAGTCTCCAGCAGCGGCAGGTGCCCGAGGCTCTACCCCATCTGACATCTCTGGTCAGGGTGAACACTCCCCTCCTCGCTGCCAGCCTCACCGAGTGCAAATCTTCACGTCATCACTTGACCCGAAATGCCTCAGACCGTTTCTTGGTTGTTAGGTTGGGGAGAGTCCTCACTGTTACAGAGACTTGGGGCCATTTGCCATAATGTCCTGGTCCTTGCCACCCTGAATTTACTTAGGGGCCATTTTCTGTCTACTCAAAGGAAGCTTCTTGTAATTCACACCTATTGGCTTGGCTTGCTGTTCCTGGGGAAACTTTCTCACCTTTATGCTTGGGGAGTTCCCTATTCTTTTCTACTTTCTGGTTGTGTCCCAGTTGTGTGTTTCTTTTTTGTATTTTTCTTTTCTTTCTTTTTATTTATTTATTTATTTTTTAATTTCACTATGGAGCAAAACTTGTGCTTGCCAGAGAGAGACAGGTAGGGAAACTGAGAAACCATCGCCGAGGGGGGATGGCCATGCTGCAGTCCTTTCTCCTCCATTCTCCTCTAGGGATTTTGGACACCTAGGCCAGAGAGCGTGTGCCCCAGTTGTGTTATTTTGTTGTTGTTTTATTTGAAAAGTACATAGAAGTACAAAGAATAAGGTGACATAAATACAGCAGTCCCCCTTCCCCATAGTTTCGCTTTTCTTGTTTCAGTTACCCACCATACAGTACAGTACATAACTTTATTACAGTGTATTTATTTTATTCTTGGTTGTTATTCATCTCTTGCCGTGTCTCATTTATAAAGATACAGGGAGACACATAGTATACATCAGGTTTGGTATTAGCCATAGTTGTAGGCATCCCCTGGGGTCCCTGCCCATCCGGGAGGACTACTGCACCCATACACTTTCTACCACGTTTCATAGATGCAATATATGCTAACGTTTTGTGATCATGTGAAGGTTTTTTTTGTTACTTTTTTAGTGTTTTTCTTTTTCTTTGGTGGTTTTTGTTTTTGTTTTTGTTTTTGTTTTGCTATTAGGGTGCATGTGCTCGTTGAAGAGAGAGAGAGAAAAACTGAGAACTCACCCCCATGGAGGAATGGCCATGCCACAATCTCTTCTCCACTCTCCTCTCGGGATTTTGGGCATACACATGTAGCCAACGTTTTTTTCTTTTTTTTTCCTGTAGAGGTTTTTTGCCTTAAGGTACGTGTGCTCATCAGAGAGAGCGATAGTCAGTGAGGAGTGTGAGAAATTATCTCCCAGAGTGGATGGCCACACTGCAATCTCTTCTCCATTCTCATCCTGGGATCTCGGGCACTCGTGCACAGGCACCTGGTGTGAGTTTCAAGCCACCAAGTCCAGGACTCAAACCACGGTTAGCCATGTGGGAGTCCAGTGATGTAGCTGCTATGCCATCTGCTGGACTCCCCCCCCCGCAGCGTGTTCTGTTCTTTCCTATCCTTTCCTTTTCCTCTTTTCCTTTTTCTTTTCTTCTTTCTTTTTTCTTTTTTTTTGTTTTTGTTTTTGTTTTTTTTTGGAGAGATTTTCACTGTAGGGCGCGTACGCTCGCCAGACAGACAGAGAAAGACATAGAGACAGAAAGCGAGAAATCACCCCCCAGGGGGGATGGTCACGCCGCAATCCCTTCTCCTCCATTCTCCTCTCGGGATCTTGGGCACGCACGCACATGCGCCCGGCGTGAGTTTTAAGCCACCGGGTCCGGGACGCGAACCGCGGTCGACTACGTGGGAGTCCAGTGACATAGCCATTACACTAACTGCTGGTTCCCTTTTCTTCTTTCTTTTAAAGAGACATTTGCCATAGGGCATGTGTACTTGCCAAGAACAGAGAAAGGCAGAGACAGAAAGCGAGAAATCACCCCTCATGGGGATGACCATGCCGCAAGCCCCTCTCCTCCATTTTCTTCTTGGGATTCTGGGTACACGCCCACACAAGCCCAGCATGAGTTTGTTTTTGTTTTTGTTTTTCAAAATAATTATTTAATTCTATTTATTCATTCATCTATTTTCATTTGACCAGAAAGAGAGAGAGGGAGAGAGAAAGGAAAACCGAGAAAGCAAGCCGCCTAGTGTGGACCTGAACCGTGGTCAGCTAAGTGGGAGTCCAGCGCCCCTAACTACCACATTACCTGTCGGCCCGCATCATTCTTCACTCTTACAAGATAAAATATGATTTTCCTTCTTTCTTTTTACAAATGCCATCTCTACTCATTTGGGATCTCTGCTGGTTCCCCCAGCATGTTTTTCAATCAGGTCCGGGACTTGAACTGTGGAGTTGGTCATGTGGGATCCAGTGCCTTAACCACCATACCCCTAGTCCGTGATTGTGTAAAGATTTTAATCAAAGAAGAAATAAGACATCTTAGATAAAAGTTGGAAGTCCGTCTGCTACCGTCCCCCCCAGAGGCAGCCACTCTGAAGAATTCAGTGGATAACCCTCCGATGATGTTTTCATACTTTTACTACAAAATATAGTACTAAATACTAAGTTGTTCTTCTGTTTTGTTTTGTTTAGCTTTGCCAGAGAGTGTGCTTGCCAGAAAGAGGAGAGAAAGCACCTCCGCTGGGACGTGGTCATGCCACCGTCCATTCTCCCATTCTCCCTCCGGCTGGGATTTGGGCGTGCAGGTTCACATGCTGGCGTTAATCAAGCCTCAGGGCCTGGGGCTCGGCTGCATACTTGGTCATGTGAGACCCAGCTGCTTTTAATGCCCAGGCTACGGCATCAGCCCGGATTTTAGATTTTTGTAAACGGTGTATTACGTGAATGTAACTTACTCTTGTTTTCACTCGACGTTTTTTTATTTTTAAATAATTATTTTATTTAACTTTATTTGTTTATTTATTTTAATTTGACCAGAGAGGAAAAGAGTGAGAGAGAGAGAGAGAGGAAAAGTGAGAAAGTAAGCCACCGGTTCGGGACACAAACCACAGTCGGCCATGGGGGACTCCAGTGCCCACCATGCCGCCTGCTGGCCCTCAAAGCTTGTTTTTCTTTTTGGGAACCAGCAGTTAGCGTAATGGCTATGTCGCTGGACTCCCACGTAGTCGACCGTGGTTCGCGTCCCGGACCCGGTGGCTTAAAAAAAAACTCACGCCGGGCGCATGTGCGTGCATGCCCAAGATCTCGAGAGGAGAATGGAGAAGGGATTGCAGTGTGACCATCCCTCCTGGGGGGTGATTTCTCGCTTTCTGTCTCTATGTCTCTTTCTATCTGTCTGGCGAGCACACGCGCCATATAGCGAAAACCTCTCAAAAGAAAAAAAAGCTTGTTTTTCTTTTTAAAATTTATTTAATTTTATTTAGTAGTAGTATTAATTTTTAAAGCATTATTTATTTAATTTTACTTATTCATTCATTTTTCTTATTAATTTGACCAGAGAGACACAGAGAGAGTGAGAGAAGAAATGTGAAAAAATAAGCTGCCAGGTCCAGGACACGAACTACGTCAGCTACGGGGGAGTCCAGTACCCTTAACTACCACGCCACCTGCTGGCCGTCAAGGTTGGTTTTGAGACCTGTCATGTTGGTACCATGCCCGGCACTATTCAAGGCACTGAGAATATAACTGAATAGAGCAAAGTCCCTTTCTTCTTGGGAGTTTTCCTCCCGGGGGGCCGGGGAGGCATATGTGGTAACGGATGGACAATCTAGCCATTCCCCTGCGGATGGGGATGGCTTCCCATTACTTTACTTATTGGTTTATTTTAATTTGACACGTGACTGTATGTGACTCTGAGCACACAGACACCGTGCACAGTTTGTAAATTCCGAGTTCTAGATGGAACATTTTTAGGCCAGTGGGCCACACAGCCTGTCAGCATCTCACTGCTGCCTTTCCAGCACAAAAGCAGCTATGAACGATAGCTAAACGAATCATTTCTAGGTACTGGGGCTTTAATTTCAGATGATTTTTGCATGTTATGAAATATTTGGGCAGCCAGGTGATGACGTGGAGGTTGAGGGGGCTAACCGTGTGCTTCGAGTCCCAGACCCAGCGGCGTCGAGTGCCCAGTCCGTGGAGGAGAGAGTAGAAGGACTGCAGTGTGGGATCCTCTCTAAGGGGCGGTTTCTCACTTTCCCCTCCTCTCTGTGGCAGTTGTGGCAATTGCCCATGCCTTGTATCAAACTAGAAGAAAGAAAGGCCAGCAGGTGGCATGGTTAAGGTGGCTGGATCTCACATGGCCGACTGCCTGGTTTGAGTCCTAGACCTGGCAGGTATGTGTGCATGCCCAAAATCCCAGGAGGAGAATGGAGGAGCAGGGATTGCGGCCTGGCCATCCTGCTGGGGTGGGTGAGGGGTGTCTCTGTCTCTCCAACAAGCACATGTGCCCTAAAGCAAAAACCTCTTAAAGATAAAAATGTAAAAGCCACTCTTAACTCAGGAGCACAAATCTTGCTGGGAGGCTGAGTCTGCCCACCCTACTGTACGACGAACCCGACAAGCACAAGTCCTCGGTCACGGACACACGTTTCCGTCTCGACTAGATACTACCAAGTTGCCCTCCAAGGGCACGTGGCAAGTCACCCCTAGCAACAAAGAGTTTCTCCAGCTCTATAAAAGATGCACTAAGCCCGGGCCCAGAGGAAAACAGGAGGTGTCAGGGGAAGTGGCCAGTGAGTGCTGACCCTGAGGGAGCACCGAGAACCCTTGAGAAGCAGGAAGGCTGAGAAACGGGGGTCTCTGCAGCCAGCAGCTCCCAGTCTCGCTCAGCCCTGTGTGTCACAGCCAGTGATGAAAAGCCCAAGCTCTTTATTTTCTTGTATTAAGGGGCGGTTTCTCACTTTCCCCTCCTCTCTGTGGCAGTTGTGGCAATTGCCCATGCCTTGTATCAAACTAGAAGAAAGAAAGGCCAGCAGGTGGCATGGTTAAGGTGGCTGGATCTCACATGGCCGACTGCCTGGTTTGAGTCCTAGACCTGGCAGGTATGTGTGCATGCCCAAAATCCCAGGAGGAGAATGGAGGAGCAGGGATTGCGGCCTGGCCATCCTGCTGGGGAGGGTGAGGGGTGTCTCTGTCTCTCCAACAAGCACATGTGCCCTAAAGCAAAAACCTCTTAAAGATAAAAATGTAAAAGCCACTCTTAACTCAGGAGCACAAATCTTGCTGGGAGGCTGAGTCTGCCCACCCTACTGTACGACGAACCCGACAAGCACAAGTCCTCGGTCACGGACACACGTTTCCGTCTCGACTAGATACTACCAAGTTGCCCTCCAAGGGCACGTGGCAAGTCACCCCTAGCAACAAAGAGTTTCTCCAGCTCTATAAAAGATGCACTAAGCCCGGGCCCAGAGGAAAACAGGAGGTGTCAGGGGAAGTGGCCAGTGAGTGCTGACCCTGAGGGAGCACCGAGAACCCTTGAGAAGCAGGAAGGCTGAGAAACGGGGGTCTCTGCAGCCAGCAGCTCCCAGTCTCGCTCAGCCCTGTGTGTCACAGCCAGTGATGAAAAGCCCAAGCTCTTTATTTTCTTGTATTTTGGTCTTTATTCCCCCCTGGGTAGGGCTGAGGTCTGTGCTGAGCCTGCAGCTCCGTGCTCCAGGGGGAGGTGCCGTGGAAACCCACCTGGCTGCAAATCCTGCCTGGCTCTGCCACCCACTGGTGCTGTGGCCTTGGGCAGGGCCCGTGACTCCTCTGAGGCCTTCCCTCATCTACAGCACATCAGTTGGCAGGACGAAATGTCCAAAGCGTGATGAAAGCTGCCTGACTAGTGACAGGTACCCAACGGCCCCACGTAAACGGGCTTAGGACGTGAATCCCCAGTTCCGACCTGCCCTCCTGCCTCTGCGGCTCTGTTAAGCCGGCGCCCCCCTTCCCAAGGAGCTGGGCAGAGCGGGCTTCCGTGTGCAGAGTGTGAACTGCCTCACTGAGATGGAGTTGGGGCTGCGTCCTGGGGGACCCAGCCGCTAGATGGCAGGGTGTAAACAGATCAGCACGTGACGACCCTGACCAGCTGTAGCCACCAGGGGGCACCCGAGCCCCAGAGATGGCCCTGACCTGCCAGACACATTCACTCCTGAGCCTGAAAGTCTGTTCCTTGGCAGGCTGGAGGGTAAATTGGGATGGAAAGTGGCAGGCCTGGGCACTCCTGGTCAGACTGCCCCAGGCAGGCCCCATGGCCCGTGGAAGACTGTCAGGACCAAAGCCGAGGCCTGGTTGTACCTGACTGCTACCCGTGAGCTGGGTCAAAGCCCTTCCCTCCCGGGCACAGCTCACAGAGTTGGTATAGCTCCACGGTCCCTTCCAGCCCCACACTACATGGCTCTAGGATGCAGCAACGGGGCAGTTTGTTCCTTTTCACTCCCAGCCTAGCTCATCTCCACTTCGGGCAGGGAATGGCCAGGGACACCATGTGTCCTGGTCCCCCAGTTCCAAAGCCCTGGGGACTCTGCGGGAGTAACGTGAGGAGCAGTGTGCGAGAGGCAGTGTGCAGGAGGAGGAAGAGCAGGGTCAGGTGTGCCAAGAGCCTGGAAGGGTCTTGCCTCACTCGGGACAGATATCCGGTTTCCTCTGGCCTCCACCAGATCTCCGGGGGCTTAGAGGCATGACTCACAGGGGGTTATTGGGGAATTCCCAGCTAATCAGAACTTGGGACGCTGCCTATCTGAGTGCGGGGTGGGGATGAGAGGCAAGATCCCAGGACCCTGGCCCCTCAGGAGGGAGGTCACCCGAGAAAGCAGCCTCCTGGGTTTGAGGGTAGAAATGGGGGCAGCCAGCTTCTTCCTTCTCTTAGAATGTGGGGGCCTGGGGTGCAGGTAGTTGGAGAACCCCAAAGGAGAGGGGCAGAGGGGTTGCCCCAGCATGTCTGCCATCATGGAGGGGGCATATCTTCCCCATCCGTCTGATGGCCTCCAGTCTCCCTGGCTTTTATCAGTGGCTCAGCGGTTGTTCAGCTGTTCTTTTCAAACTCCCTGGGGCCACTCAGGCCTGGGTGGGGCTGGAGGGGGAGGAAAGGCGCTCAGGGGGTCAAGACGTCAAAGAAGGAGCAGAGATTCCACAATTTCACAAAACTTTCGCAAACAGCTTTCTGTACCAACCCCCTGCATTGTCCTGGACGCTGATTTGCATATCGTCGGAAGTTATTACTAAGCCTTGGTCTCAGCCCCAGGTAATTCCCTCTCAGGCTCCATGGCGTTCTGTATAAAGGCCCTCAGAAGCAGGTCGCTGACAGAGCCCAGAGCCCACAGCCCGTCCACACCTATGGCTGAACCCGCTGCCCAGAACCCCATGAGGTTGATGGGTGAGTGCCCTGGCCCAGGGTGGGATGGAAGCTGGAGGTGGAGGGGCTGGGGATCCCCAGGTCTGGGAGTGGGGCTGGGAGGCGCCCTGTGTTCTCAGAGGGCCAGGTGGGAGTGAAGGCCATCTGCCCCAGCCCTGCAGCTGCTGCTCTGGCTGTGTGCGCTCTGGACAGGGCAAGAAGCCACCCCCCTGGGACCTGGCAGCTCTCTGCCGCGGAGCTTCCTGCTCAAATGCTCAGAGCAAGTGAGGAAGATCCAGATGGCTAGTGCAGAGCTGCAGGAGAAGCTGGTGAGAGGCGGGCAGGCCGCTGTGGGCGGGGTGGAGGGCAAGAGGCAGGGGAGGGCAGCTGGGATGGAGAGAGGATGTCATCAGGAAAGGACACCAAGGGAGAGGCACTGGGGCCTGGGAGAAAGGAAGGAAAGGTGGGGCTGGGAAGGACTTGGGTCTGAGGTGCCCTGGGGCCCCGCGAAGAACACAAAGCTGGGGCAGAGGAGGAGCAGGCAGGGCTGGCCCCGGAGGCTCACCCGCCTCATCCATTGCCAGTGTGCCACCTACAAGCTGTGCCATCCTGAGGAGCTGGTGCTGCTCGGTCACTCTCTAGGCATCCCCCAGGCTTCCCTGAGCAGCTGCTCCAGCCAAGCTCTGCAGCTGGTGAGTGTCTGGGCGGGAGGACTGACGGGCTGGGGACTAGGGGTGTGGGAGCTCCCAGATGCTGACCTCCAAGCTGGGGATCTGAAAGGAGGGTCCCAGGCTGCATGTAACTCTGGCACTCCACCCTGCAGACAGGCTGCCTGAGCCAGCTCCACAGTGGCCTGCTTCTCCACCAGGGCCTCCTACAGGCCCTGGCAGGGATCTCCCCCAAGCTGGCCCTCTCCGTGGACATGTTGCAGCTGGATGTGGCTGACTTCGCCTCCACTGTCTGGCAGCAGGTGAGCCTTGCTGGGGGAGGCAGACAGAGTGGCCATCAGGGCTGCTCACCGAGGGCATGCTGGCACGCCAGGCTCTGAAGCCCTGTGGGGTTAGGGTGGGAGCATTCTTAGGGGCCTGTGTATGCAGCACCCTGCCCCATCACAGGACCTCCTTCTGCTGACCTTCCTCCATCCCCTAGTTAGAGAGTGAGATGGGTCACGGGACCTTAAGACAGCAGACCTGGGTTCAAGTCCTGGCTGAACCGTTAACCATGAATGTCTAGTTGGTCCTGTCAACTCCTGGCATTTCCTCATTAGTAGCAACACCCATGCAGCAAGCCTGACCACCCATCTCCTCTTACCCCTCACAGATGGAAGACCTGGGGGTGGCATCTGCCATGCGGCCCACCCAGGGCACCATGCCAACCTTCGCCTCTGCCTTCCAGCGCCGGGCAGGAGGCGTCCTGGTCATCTCCCACCTGCAGAGCTTCCTGGGGCTGGCACACCACTTTCAGTACTACCCTGCCCAGCCCTGAGCCTCGCCCTCCCCATCCGGTGTATTTATCTCTATTTAATATTTATGATTATTTAAGCCACGTATTTAAAGATAAGGAAAAGCGGAAAGGAGTCCCAGACTTCTGGGCCTTTCCCTCCAACTCTGAGTCTCATTCTCCTGCCTGTAGCAGCGGGAAGAGCTCCTGTCCTCCTGTCTCCGGGACTGGGAGGTAGATAGGTAAATACCAAGTATTATTCCCGTGACTGCTCCTGGCCCTCTGTGGTGGGCACCTGCCCCTGAGATTCCACCCTGGCCCGTGGGGCATCAGGAGGTCTCCCATGTGGGAGACCAGACACCTGTTTAATATTTAAACAGCAGTGTTCCCCAACCAGTCCTCACGGCCTCACTCTGGCCTCCACTGGGCCTGTGTACACCAGGCTGGCCAGTTCCTAGCCCCACTCCCTGGGCACCGAGTCCCTGAGCAAAGACAATCGGAGCCAGGAGGCTTAGCCCTGGAGTCCCACAAATTTGCTGGGGAATCTAGTGTTTCTTTACTAAATTTGGGGGGCATGTCTGACTGCCAGCATGAGGTGCTCAGGCATCACCCTTTTCTGTTGTCCCAGATGCCCGCGGGGTGCCTGTCCCTGCCCTGCTGGTCAGGATTCTGACTCTTAAGACAGGGCACTTTTTTGCGGGGCTAGAACTGAGAATGTGAGTGGCAAAAGACAAGGGACAGTTACGGTGGGGCAGGGGGTCGAGTGTGCAAGGAATCTCAACTGCTTACCCTCCGGCTCTGCCCCCACTTTCTCCTTGTAACCCACCTTTGGATAATAAAGTGTTTGTCTCCAGTAAAAAGTCCCTCCTTCTTGAGCCCAGCAGGCAGCCAGGGGCTGGGGGG